AAAAAAAAAAAAAAAAAAAGAATGGGAGGGATGTGCGTGTGGTTATGAGGGCAGCACTTGGGATCTTGTAGTGATGGAATTGTTCTAAACCTTAATTGCTATGAATGTATATGAGCCAATATATGTTGAAAATTGCATAGAACTAAATATACCATTCACATACACACTAGTGTAAGTAAAACTGTTGAAAAATAAGCTTGGTGGCTTGCATCAATGTTACTTTCGTGGTTGACACTACAATTTTTCAAGATGTCACTTTGGGCGCTGGCAAATCGGGCCCAGGATGTAGAGCGGCTGTGCCGGAGGGCGCGTCTGATGCGAGCTCGGGTTGGGTAGAGAGTAGGGGGTGGTAGTCAGGGGTGGTGGGAGAAGGAGGCGGCGAATCACTTATAAATGGCATCCAAGCAGGACCCGAAGCCCAAGTTCCAGGAGGGTGAACGAGTACTGTGCGTTCATGGGCCTCTACTTTATGAAGCAAAGTGTATAAAGGTTGCCATAAAGGACAAACAAGTAAAATACTTTATACATTACAGTGGTTGGAATAAAAATTGGGACGAATGGGTTCCAAATATGTGGACACCAATCTACAGAAACAGCGCGAACTTCAAAAAGCCAATCAGGAGCAGTATGCAGAGGGAAAGATGAGAGGGGCTGCTCCAGGACAGAGGACATCTGGTCTGCAACAGAAAAATGTTGAAGTGAAAGCAAAAAAGAACAAACAAAAAACCCCTGGTAATGGAGATGGTGGCAGTACCAGTGAGACACCTCAGCCTCCTCGGAAGAAGAGGGCCTGGGTAGATCCTACTGTTGAAAATGAAGAAACATTTATGCACAGAGTTGAAGTTAAAGTAAAGATCCCTGAAGAGCTAAAACCGTGGCTTGTTGATGACTAGGACTTAATTACCAGACAGAAACAGCTCTTTTACCTTCCTGCCAGGAAGAATGTGGATTCCATTCTAGAGGACTATGCAAATTATAAGAAATCTCGAGGAAATACGGATAATAAGGAGTATGCTGTTAATGAGGTTGTTGCAGGGATAAAAGAATGCTTCAATGTGATGCTGGGCACTCAGCTCCTCTACAAATTTGAGAGACCACAGTACGCTGAGATCCTTGCCGATCACTCTGATGCACCCACGTTGCAGGTGTATGGAGCACCACATCTACTGAGATTATTTGTACGAATTGGAGCTATGTTGGCCTACACACCTCTGGATGAGAAGAGCCTTGCTTTATTACTGAATTATCTTCATGATTTTCTCAAGTATCTGGCGAAGAATTCAGCAACTTTGTTTAGTGCCAGTGATTATGAAGTGGCCCCTCCTGAGTACCATCGGAAAGCGGTGTGAGGCGCTCTCACCAGTGTTTGGATCTCTGTCAACATGTTTTGTTCCTAGTCCTTCTCTTGTTCAAATGATGTACTTTGAAGATGTTAGTGTACAACAGAGTTGATGTTTGTTTTGATTTTAAACAGAGAAAATAAAAGGGGTTTCAGCTCCTTTTTTCTTTTCATTTCAAAGTTGCTACCTGTGTATTCAATGATGGACAACAAAGAGACATGGTGTAGTGTTTTATTGCCTAGTTGACAAAGCTGCTTTTGAATGCTGGTGGTTCTATTCCTTTGACACTATGCACTTTTATAATACGTGTTAATGCTATATGACAAAATGCTCTGATTCCTAGTGCCAAAGGTCCAATTCAGTGTATATAACTTAACACACTCATCCATTTGTGCTTTTTTTTTTTAAACGGTGCTTAAAGAGCCCATCCTTTGCAAGTCATTCATGTTGTTCCATAGGCATTTTCTCTTTGCTCAAATTGTTGAAGAATGGTGAATTGTTTCATGGTCTTTGTATTTGTGTCTAATGCACATTTTAACATGATAGATGCAATGCATTGTGTAGCTACAGTTTTCTGGAAAAGTCAATCTTTTAGGAATTGTTTTTCAGATCTTCAATAAATTTTTTCTTTAAATTTCAAAGAAAAAAAAGATGTCATCACTGGAGGAAATAGAGTTAAGTGCACTCAAGATCTCTCTGTATAAATTTTTACAACCACATGTGACTACAATGACCTAAAGTGTTAAAAGTTTCATTAAAATTTATTTAGTTTGCTACTTGTTACCATGGCTATAGAAAAAAGGCAGTCTGTCCTTAAGAGTGTACAGACATTATTATTTTCAATTTAAATTTCCATGCACCACTGTCCTCCAAGACACTTTGAATGTGGACTGTATTAAAACAATCACCATGGGCTGGGGATTTAGCTCAGTGGTTTCACTGCCTGCTCTGCAAGCGCAAGGACCCAAGTTCGATCCCCAGTACCAAAAAAAAAGGAGGAAAAAAAACCCCACCAACTTCAAATGATCCTAGCATATCTTGGGGTGCCACCTACAAACAGGTGTGGATATTCTTCCTCAACTGACTGGTCATCCAAAAACCCAATGAGGGTTTTACCTCTTCTGTAGAGGTAACAACCTATCCATTACTTAAGAAGAGATATCTTGGCATGCCCAAGTTCAGTGAGCACTTAAATATTTCTCTGTTAAGGAAGACCATGAATTCTGTGGAATTTATTTCCCACTCTCTGGTATACATGCATCTTAACAAGGTGCCTGGAGTAATTGCTACTTCCTGCACTCCAAATCTACTCAGCAAAATATAATCAATGTAATGGGCCAACATCATGTTCTGTGAAGTGGCTAGGTGACCAAGTTCCCCAAGTGGAAGTGCACTACTGCCTTCCCCAGATCAGTAGCTGCAAGTGATGTGTTCATGTGCCCCAGCAATAAAACTACACCAAGAAGAACAGCTACAATTGGAGTTACCACCTGAGTAAATTTATGATATCTCACTGTAATTCCTCAAGATTCAGAATCTTCTACACAAACCAAATGCATGAGTTGAACCATCACTCTTGCATCATTCATTAAATTTTTGGCTGTATTTAATTAACACTGACTGTCCTCCATTAATATTACACTGCTCTAAGTTTACTATTTTCATAGGTAGAGGCAGCACTGATGGATTCCAGGGGTTATTTTCCACCATAATGCCCTTTAATCTATGAGGCATTATGAGGAATGTGTTTACTCTCCTTATAATTTGAAACTGAAGAAATAATCAAAGATTTATTTGTGACCCATTAGCCCCAGTATGAGATGGGCCAAAACCTTGTTGACCATCTCTATAACATGCTACTCTGACTAGGGACTTACAGAAACACTTTGGGTCATCTCTAATCAGTATCAGTACAGTGCCAGTACCTAGTAATCAGGGGGGAAAAGTTAGTTTTCCAATTTTTTCATCAATGTGACTATGAATCAGATAGCCACATGGAGTTCTGGGGAAAGCAAGGAGAAAGATACATACAGAAATTTTTTGCCATGGTGCAAGCACTTCCATCAAGGACACTGAATCCCTGTCACTCATAGAGCTCTAAGCCAATGATCTGGTTCAAGTCTAGTAACTAGCTAAAGTGCCTTGTTGATAAGACCTCTCACCACCAGACCTAGAACATGTCTCCTTATACAAACCAACTCATACTTGAACAGACTGCCTATCTATACCAGTTCTAGAGGATACCATGATCAACTGATCAATGTCAAAGACCTCTGTATGTGAAGTTATTTTCATTTCTGCCTCAACTCCGACATTCATTACAGTAACCTTGTCCCTTGACCTCATTTTTCCATACCATCCCCCCCACCTCGGATCCCACCATAATATTGGAACTCAGAGAGCCCTGGTCAGTAGTAGCAGTTCCTAGCCATCCAAGGCCTGCAGCAAACAACCACTGTAGAGCACTTCACTT